AGCTTATATATATGTCAGATTGGCGATCAACAGCTTATATATATGTCAGATTAGTGATCAACAGCTTATATATATGCTAGATTGGCAGTCAACAGCTTATATATATGCCAGATTGGTGGTCAACAGCTTATATATATGCCAGATTGGCGGTCAACAGCTTATATATATGCCAGATTGGCAATCAACAGCTTATATATATGCTAGATCGGCGTTCAACAGCTTATATATATGCCAGATTGGCAATCAACAGCTTATATATATGCCAGATCGGTGATCAACAGCTTATATATATATCAGATTGGCAATTAACAGCTTATATATATGCCAGGTCGGTGATCAACAGCTTATATATATGCCAGATTAGCAAACAACAGCTTATATATATGCCAGATCGGTGATCAACAGCTTATATATATATGAGATCAGCTATAATTCGTTTATATATAGTGTCAATTAGTTGTTCTCAGCTTACATAATCTTGCATAATCTTGCATAATTATATATAGGCACATATAAAAGAATTTAAACATATATAAAAATATACAAAATAAAGTTTGTGTAACATACGTCATTATGCATATTCGCATAATGTAAACAATACAATTGCATTGCTGAAAAAAATTGGTAACTTTTGGCTATACTTGTTATATAACGTGCATAATCATGCATAATCTTGCATAAATGATCTACATAAACAATACAATTGAATTCGTGGGAAAAAATGACAAAGAATAGCTTTTTTCGCAAAAAATTTCCTTTTTTGGTTAGTCTGAATGTACCTAGCGTGAGAAGTCTTGGCATTTTTAGTGTGAGAAGATAGGTTATATAAATAGCAACTATGTAAAAGCTTGGCATAGAAAAACATTTAATCTTAAACTATCAAAAAGCCGTTCCGACAATAATTAAATATATCTCTTCTAATGAAAGTTCAAATTCTTACTAAGTAATAATTTTTAAATTTTTTTTGCCATATAAAGACAATTTACTAGTATAATATAAAAGTATAAAAACATATAAAAACCAAGTAAAGAATTAATAAAAATTAATTTTCATATTTTTTATTCATTTTCCTATTAAAATCAAAATATTATTATATACATCTATAATAAAATATATTGGCAATTAAACTAATTAATATTTATTATATTTTAAATATATTTATACATATTATATCTATATAAAGATTATAAAAGAGTTGTTGATATATAAATAATTAAAGATTAAATATGATTGAGTATTTAACTTATATTTTATAAGATGATTAGATATGAGTTGGATATTGATAAGTGTAAATATATATGATATAATAGACTAAATATTATTGGGTAATATCAGTAATAGATAAGATGTTATTAATTTATAGAATTAGTAAATTTGATATTATAAGTTTGTATATAAATTATTTGTTTATTGTTTAGTTATATATATAGCAGCTTAATTATGATCAATCTATATATATATTGGATCAGCTATCATGCACTTATATATATATAATGTATGAGTCATAATCAACTTATATGTATATCATATTGATCATTATCAGCTTGTATATATATTGAATTAATTATTATTAGCTTAGATATATACTATATTAACTATAATTAGATTATATATATATATGTGATTGGCTGTTATCAACTTATAAATATATCAAATTGATTATCAATTGCTCATATACCTATAGTGTATCAGCTTCTGTAAGTTTATATGTATATCAGATTAGTGACAATTAGCTTATATATATTAGGTCAGCTGTCATCTACTTATATATATATATATAATCAGCTGATATTTACATACATATATATTAGATTGACCAACATCAGCTTATATATATATGAGATCAGCTATCATTGATTTATATATAATATTAATTAACTGTCATTCATTATATATATATTAGATTGACTGTTATCAGCTTATACATATATATCAGATTGGCTGTTATCAGCTTATATATATGTCAGATTGACTGTCATCCACTTGTATATATATCTGATCAGCTGATATTCACTTGTATATATATCAGATTGGTGGCTATCTGCTTATGTATATATATCAGATCAGCTGACATTAACTTGTACATATATAATATTGGCTGTTATCTGCTTATATATATATCAGATCAGCTGACATCCACTTGCATATATAACAGATTGACTATCATCTGCTTATATATATGTCAGATCAGCAGACATCTACACTGGAAAAATAGGGTAATTTCATCTGGATCAAATGTACCAAAAATGTAGATGATTGAGCCGATATCATCACAATTTTTGTGATATATCATTTTGAGCAATGGTACGATATCATCTATGGTGCTGATATGTATCATCATAACAACGGGTACACAAAAACCCAATGTAGAACGATTGTCAGTCCGCAAACTATGGAAACTGAATAAATATTGTAGTTACGCTTTACTCCTATCGAGTCTACCTCTTTATGTGTTATATTTTGAGGTCTATAAAGAGCTAGCATCCTATATTATTATTTTTACCGGGTTTTTTTATTGGCTGCAGAAATGCTTTAAAAACTATCAAAGAGATGATTGTAGGTTTTTTGCAATATAAAGAAATGATGATAGTTGGTTTTTTATACATGCTCAAAGTGATGAAACTAGGTTTTTTATACACACAAAAGCAATGAAACTAGGTTTTTTTACAATGGAAAAGAGAAACAAAGCATGGGTAGATTTTTATAAACAAGCTTCTTTGGTTTGTTTATTTATTTTACTTTTATTTATTTATTTTTTGGAAAAACATTGGGTTATACATTTTTTGTTCAATTTTGTTTTATTTGATAGGAAAATCTTTTCTAGATAAAAATCCTAATTTCGCGACAGTTTTGATACTATAGCTATTATAATCGCTAATACTTCTTGCTCGCTATATATAATTTAAAGCCTTCCGGGAGTAGACATGGAATACATACTTTAATAGCGGGAATGCTATTAAAAAATGATTAATAGAAAAGAAGAATTAGTAAATGATTTAAATTGAAATTTCTTCATAAATACTTACAAGGCGGAGAAGACTTGACATAAAATTGATATAAACATGTTCTTCAGAACTATCAAGACAATACCAGTAGTCTTTGAATAGAGATACATTCTAAAAATGAATAATTATTAATATTGTGCGTAGTAAAGGCGTATTTATTAAATATATTGTAGTTAACTTACCAAATATTACTGATTATATGTCTTCGTGCATAATATTAGACATAACTAATAAATCATAATAAAAATAAATATATATCTATGAGGAAGACAAAAGAATAATTTGAATTTTTTTTAAGAAAAAAACTTACCATCATGTTCGATTAAGAGATGATGAGACTCAATGGAAATGAGTAGCAATGGCTAGACAAACAATATGATGAGTAACAAAGATCTGTAAGATAATGATATCTTACCTTGATATATCAGACAGAGTATAGCCAAACAAAGAGACACATATTTGGTATTGAGCTATAAAAGAAAGAAAAAATTATAAGTGAAATTGTAAAAACATAAGCAAAAGAGAAACAAAGAAAATATCAATAATAAATGTTAAAAGAAAAAGAAGGAAAAAAAAAAGACTTGTCTTAAAATCCAGTTTGACCCTGACAAAATGCGGGCTGTAAAAAGTAATACTCCAAAAGAAGATGACCACCGTCATCTTGAAATACTACTTTGTGCCTCATTGAGTTAGAAAAGAAGTTGTCTAAATGTGGATCAAGCGGTTGGGAGATGTGCTTAAATATCAAATGAAAGGTAGAGAGTTAATCTGCACCGCTTATCCTCTTTACTAGTATGTGAATTTTAAATATGATATAACAAGTGTAGTGAATTGTACAATATTAGTTGAAAATTATTAATATTTATTTTATTAACAGAAAATGACAAAGCATATTCCTACTGCTCCCCGCCGACCCAACCTATGCATGAATGCTGTTCTTAATAGCACAATTGCAGGTGTTGTTGCTCCAATTGATACACCAACTCCAGAAGTAGCAGTTGACACAGCCCCTGAAGTTCAAGTCGCTGTGACCCCAATGGATCATGTCCTTACCTTGTTGGCAGCCAACAATGTGTCGATGCAATCCTTGCAAGAAAATGCAAAAGGAGTGACTGATGCAATAACTCATTTGAAGAATGGCCTGGATTTGTCCAACAAGACAAATGAATTTTTGAAGAACTCGGTCCTTCAGCTCATGACTGAAAATGCTGAAATAAAAAAGGCAATGA